TCATTGTTACTATAAGAAAAGCCATATGTCTTTGAGATTTCTCCTATACAGACAGAATTTTCAGAAGTGAGGATTATCTATGTAAATGCTTTGGGATAGATAAGTTAGAAGGCATATCAAGACTGCAATAAAGTTTGGGATTTTTGCTTTTAGCATGTGAACATTTTTCCAAAAAATCTAAGTTTAGGAGTCAATGTCATTTTGTGACCTCATAGATATTACAGATGAGAATAAAAGGACAGGCAAAGCAAGACAAATTTTACAAACATTATATGATTTATTGGCAGTAGGATTTAACTAACAAAATATTAATGGGCAGACAATACTAATAAATGGATGAGGCATTAATAGGACATGAGCCGGTCCTCAGATATGGAATTCATCTAGAAAATCAAAGACACCAATAGGCGATTTGAAATTCCATTCCATTTTCAACTAGAGGTTAAGAAAGATAAATGTAAAACACAGGAAATCTACTTTATGAATCAACTGCATTATAGAACTAATGTCACAATAATTGATATGCACAGAAAAACTGGTATAAATAGGACTATCAATTAAAAAGATAAAAGATATAATACATGACTAACTTTAATGATACAATTACCTCATATTAGTATGTCATCAGATGAATTTAGACTTATGAAAGATTGAATAAAATTCATGTACTTAATTTCTTCTAATAATATGTTTTCAGCAAAGGTCTGACAACTCAAAGCTTTTCAAATTACTTAAAGCAAAATGGTTCTATCATGGCACTGAAACTTTGTTTTTACCTTGGTGCAGAATCTTGGGAAGGCTAGTTCCAGCAGCCTCAACTTGGAGAGGTGCATTTGTATAGAGGTGTGACAAGCATGTTACTCATACATAGTAACTGAAGACATCCCTGAAGCTCTTTCTCTAACCCACTTTCCTAAGAGATTGACTTCTTCATGTGATAGTTGCTTGTGGAGTATGTCCCATATGAGCTAGGAGAGGGAGTCTTGATATTTTGTGATATCACAGTTTATTGCTCATCCTTGGAAGGTGTGGGAAAGCACAACTGAAAGCTCTTGTTTTTTGAGCCTCTCCTTTCTAAGATTATACATCTGCCTTGTCATTTTTGTTTTACTCAAATCATCTTTGTCATCACATCTGGGTACTGCTTCCCAATTTCCACAGTGACATGGATTATTCCTTTTGCTAAGCTCCAATTGCCCCCATTTACACAGTGACATCCTCTAATATGAAATAAACACTATTAATGCTGTACCACATATATATCTATTTATCTCACATTGCCTGGAACAAAAAGAAACCTGAGATAGGGATCATTTTTAATTACCTCAACTACTGCCTGATATATGATGGATGCTCAAAAAAATTATAAAATGAATGTAGACTGTCTATTTTCATCTATGTATTTAAGTTATTTTCACTGAAAGGAAGTGAAATTATTTGCACATTTTAATAAAACTAATTTCACCTATTATGTACTAAGGGCTCTTATCAAGGGCTCTTATAAGGGCTCTTTCTTACTAAGTACTTCCTAAAGGCAGTACATTTTGACCTGATCTCAAGATATACTTACCTTTTCTGCTTATTTTTCAGGGAGCTATGGACTAAAATGGCACAAATTACAACCCTCATCTCTTTCTTGAATTAACTTTTCTGAAATTAAATGTATACCTGAGAATGGCAGAGGCATGTCCATGAATCGGCAAAATACGTCTCTGAAGGAATCTTTATCCTTAAATAAAATCAGCTACCTTTTCATCTACCTTTTCATCTCTCAGTCCTATGTGATTTCATAAAAACTGAAGTCTGAACAGGAGGCTAATTACTAGCTACAATGAGCGCATGTAATAGAAGTAATTACTGGCAAACAGAAAAGATTGTCTTTGATTTGTAATTTAGAGGTGGGAGAAGTCAATTTTAATGAGTGTTGATTTTAAAAATCTCTCTTGAAGAAATCACCATCTGTCATCTTTATTATAGAAATTAATCCTAGTGTCAAAACTACTTGAGTTCTGGATGTCAGACAGGAAATGCTTGACAAAGTTTTGTAAGCTAAGAAAGGATTACATTACTATTTTACATCAATTATTTTAAAGATATATTTAAAAGTAAATTCATGGTTTATTTCTCAATATAATTTATTATCAAATATATAGTTTATATAAAACATGCAAGCATTAAAAACCTACTTAACTTTGAGTTCTAAGCCTAGTTTTGCTATAAGTAGCATAATTATATGTCTTCTGAGACTGCATAACTTGAGTCCTATTTTCTCTGCCCATATTTCTCAATATAAGACCAAGTTTTTAATTTACATATTTTATAAGAATTGTGCACCTATGTGTCAGTTGAGTTTGTTTTTTGGATTACATATTCAAATATTTAATGAAGTTTTTTAAAAAAGAAAACCTAAGTACTACAAAGTTAAATGCACATTTGAATTTACATGTACACACATATAAAATACATTTGATTTATTCAAGATCTGACCCTCAGAGGACTACAATGATTTCAATCTGAATCCTACAGCAGGATAATAAAGAAATCATAAGCTACAAATCATTTTCCTTTGTCAAGTTTGACAAAGTGTTTGGAAAAGATGGTCACATAGAAAGAAAATATTTCTTATGTATTAAGGCTGGACTAGACTATGGCAATGAAAGGAGGATGGGTCAAAGGATACTCTCAGGTCCCAGTGAGTTGTTTATTTTTTTTTTAAAGATTTATTTATTTGTATATACAGTACTGGGGTACAGGCCAGAGGCTCAGGGATGGTGAGAGGCTTCAGCGAGACAGAGTGGGGAGCAGAACAGGCAGATCGACGAAGTACACTGCTGAGGGGAGCAGCGGGCGGGTCAGGAGAGGTCTGCCATGCCATGTGGTCACCTCTGGGGCAGGCGAGGATCGAACTCATGCGGAAGTGGCTTTAGCTTCTCAGTGCTGTGCTTTAACCAAACGCTGCGCCACCAGGGAGGGCCCTGAAAAATGCCTTTTAAAATAAACCTTAACTGGCCCTCCCTGGTGGCGCAGCGGGTTAAAGCACTGCACTGAGAAGCTAAAGCCACTTCCGCATGAGTTTGATCCCTGGCCGGGGAGGTGACCCACATGGCGCAGCAGACCTCTCCTGATCTGCCCGCTGCTGCCCTCAGCAGTGTACTTCATCAATCGGCCTGTTCTACTCCCCACTCTGTCTCTGGTGAATCCTCACACCGCCCCTGCACCTTTGGCCTGCACCCCAGTTCTGTATGCATAATAAATAAAACTTAAAAAAAAAAGGCACTTTTCAAAACTAAGGGGAGCTGAGACACTCTAGTTGCCCTGGTCGAGTTGTCTTTTGGTCCTAAAAAGATTAGAGTCTATGAAAACCCAACTAAAAAAAGCTGCTTCTGCAGGAGCCCAGAGTATACCACTTTCCTTCTGGAACTTTCATTCCAGCAGAGGATCAAAATAAGAGACTCCAGGTACGAATTTTGCAATAGCTCTTTTGATTTCAAAGAAAGCAAAGAACGGAGGTTTTGGGCCATTTTTGTTTTGGGGCACCAAATCAAAAAGGGATGATGTACAGCGGTCAGGTTACTTGAGTACAAGAAAATTTTGTAAACCAAAGCTACCCGGATACTTGACATGACTCGCTCCTGAGACTCTAATGTTGGGTTAGTAATCACTGAGCCTCCAGTGTTCCCTTAAATCACAAATGTCACCAAGAGCGGGAGGGCTTCCTCGAAGACTTACAAAAGCAGCAGCAAGGTAATGGAACAGAAATGCTCCTTTCTTCTACTAGATAGAGCCACTTGCAAAGCAGAGAATTTGGCCGCTGCTCTCCTGTGACTTGTGTGGCAGCAATCAAGTTTCCAGAGTTTCTGTGTTGTTTTCACATTCAAGGCATAAGAATTCCCACAGACAAGGGGATACAGAAGATTGTGATAGGCATATAGGCATCAGTTTCTGCCTCCAGCACTGATTCCCAAATACTTTTGTTTACCATGTAACTCAACACTTTCATCACCACTTTTCATGGGATACAATAGTTCGATTTTCCCAGTAAAACAATGCTTAGTTTCCCTGGGTGATAACATTAAAAACACGTTAAGAGATGGGGCTAGGAGGAGATTAACAATCATTTCCAGTCAAAGTAAGACTCCAATAACCACTGACTGAAGGTATCATTGAATAGCCTTTGGGGTCTGCTTTAGAGATTTAGGGGTGGGGGATTAAAAACAGAAGCACAAAATCAGAACCATTACATAAGCCATGTGTTTGTACAGACACTCACACACTTATTCTTTCATCTGGCTTGTCTGTCCCCAGTCATTTTTGCAGTTGCCTGTGCTCCCTGGATTCAACACCCCCTAGCCCCCACTTCCCAAGCGGACAAGACCCCTTCCTCTACCCCCTACTCTACCCCCAAATAAGCCCCCCCACTTCCTACCTGGCTAGGGACTCAGATCCAGGAACTTACTTTCCCCACGTGACCTGTCCAGACACCACTTCCGAGCCTCTCCACTCTCTCTCTCAATATCCCAGGCCCCATCGCTGCCACCCGTGTTCCTTCCTCTTCCTGGGCTACTCTCTCCGAGTTCCTGGACCCACATTAAGCTGTGGCTGCCGGAACCGTCCAGGAGGATCTCTCGCGGGGAACTTTTAGAACCACCGGCGAGCCCCAAACCTCCTCTCCCGCCTTGTGGGGCCACATGCACCGGAAGCCTGGCCAGTCTGGCGTGGCCTCTGGTGTGCAAGGCCCCAAAATGGCCCATGGCAGGCCGCCACCACACAGCAGGAGGCCCCAGCTCAAACCTAGGGCCGCCCTGCGGCATCTTTCTAGAAGTGTAGGGCAGAGAGCCTGGCAGGGGAGCGAGCCGCGGCCTCGGGCCAACGCGGTCAGGACGCCGCTGCCTGCGCTGCCCCGAGGGCCCCGCGTCGCTCTCCCGAGCCAAGGTTCTCAGGAGCGGGCCGCGGAAAAGACGTTAGCGGGAGGAGTTAGCGGCTGTTGGGAGAACCGGTTCACGGAAACTGTCCCTTCCAAAGCCCCGCCATCGCGGGGTGGGCCGCCCTGCTCCTCCCCCAGGCCCTGGGCGCTGACCACAGCAGGCACGTGTGCTGACGGCAACCGCCCGCCCCGGCGAGCCCGGGCAGGGCCCAACAGGAGGAGCCCGGGCACCGCCCGTTGGCCCCGCTGGGCCCTGAACGCCCAAGGGCAGCGGCGCGTCTGCCCGGAGCGCGTCAGGTGAGGGGGTCGCCATGGCGATGCGGCCCCGGGGGCGCCCGCCGGCCGCGGTTGGCATGGAAGCGGTCCCCCGCGAGGCAGTGGAGCGCCGCTGATTGGCAGATTCAACAGACGCGGGGGGTGGGCTGAAAGTAATTAGTGCTGAGCTCCGGGGCAGCCCGGGCAGCAGCCGTCGGGAGCGCCCCGGCTGGAATCTATTAACACCTCCACCCCTGCCGCCCCGCCCCGCCCCATCCCCGCCCCGCCCCCCTCTGTCCCCTCAAGGCCCTTTCCTCGTTTGCACTTGCTAATTATATTAGTTGGAGATACACATATAAAGATATAAGGCTGAGAAGAGCTGGACCCGCTGTGGGTTCCAAGCAGGTTTGGGGGCTCTCTGTTTGATGGGAGGAGGGCCCCGGAGCAGCACCTGCTTGTCACTTGGGAAAGGGATGAACTTTCTTGGGCGGTACATCCTAGGTCTTTTGTTTGCAGGAGCGGGAGGTGAGCATTTGGGCTGGTAGTTTTAGACTCCTAGTTAACCTGTGGCTTAGCTTCCTGACCTTGTGATTTGTGATAGTATCGTTCCAGCATTCAATCAACTCTTGGAAGGAAGCCTTCAGAAATGCTTATTACTGGTTCAGAAATAGCTTTGATCACTTGCGTCTTTGAGCCCTCATTGCAAGAAAGATCTTGTGTGTTGGTTCTCTCCTTCTTAGAGAGTCACTGCATCCTTGGAGTTCCTGGTTGGAGGAGATTAAACTAACTGGCTTGCCTGTTTTTCTTTGCCCATAGCAGCAACCTGTGAAGACTGACACAATGCATCTCAGCAGTTCTAAGAGTGGAGGCGTTCAGGCTCCAGTGGCCCGAGGTCCTGATGCCTGTCAGATGATAACCAGAGCCCAGCTAGGCCAGGATCCTCAGCAGAGAACAGTGCTAGGGATACTAACTGAGAATGGGCAATACAGAAGGACCTGCAGCCAGGTAATGTTCCAGAAGCTCTGCAAAAGCTTCCTGTTGAGAAGGGTTCTCATGTCACTTGTGGGGTGGAGGGTGGGTGAATGACACATTTTTTTCTTGCAGTTTTACCTACAAACTCCCTTGAGTTTGCCATGAGTTTGTCAACCCTGGAATCTGTACTGTAGTGATATTGATTGATTGATTTTTTAAAAAGACTATCGTGTGTGGTCCCTTTTCAAGTTAGATGTTGTGAATAGTTTTCTGTTATTTTTCAAGTATCAAGGAAATATGTCCAAGAACTTTTTGGATTACGTAGATATAAGTTATTCAAGTGTTGGGTTGGAAGGAAATGTGAATGCTGCCAAATAAACTTTGGAACTAGGATTCTTTCAGGTTCAGACTGATGCAGGTTGTGCCTGAATCAATCCTTAATAACATTTGCTCTGTTCATTGGAAATAGTATTAGAACAAGGATTGAATCTGGCTAGATTATGTTCCTTCAAGATGCATGCTTTGAAGCAGACATCTCTCCAGTACTGTCAAAGGGCATTTGGGCAAACAAATCAGCCACTAGATATTAGTTGCTTGGGTTTAATTGATGATTAAGCAGCTCCCCTACGAGATTTAAAACAAATCAGACACTAAGATGCCATTGAGGTATTTGGATTCTTAAAAATGAATCTGAACAGAAAAAAGCATCACCAAATCTGCTATTAGACAAGATTTTTCACAATGCCTTAAACCAGCAGTGCACACTTGTAGTGGAATGACATCAGTAATAGTCAATGAATAGATAGGCCAGCTATCCTTCCTATTTTACAGGTGAGAAAAAAAAATTGAGAGGGTGTAGGGGCATATTAGAAACCCCTCATTTACTCAAGTCTTCTGCCTTTTGGTATTATCAGCTGGGCCATAAGAAGAGAGGAGGGGAGCTACACAGAGAAATCTGCTTAAAGCTTTGGGAAAAAAGTTGAGATAAAGTAGTTTTAACAAGTTTAATTTGTTTAGCAATATTTACTTCTTTAAATGTAAAGTCTAAAACTTAGCTCTTATGAATTGACAGTTGTGCCTATGATGACTGTTCTCACTTTAGATTCATAACCATTGGCTAACCTCTTTCATTCATTGCCTGCTGTTGCCTTTTCGTTTCCCTGGTCTATTCTTCTACAACCTGTTTAAAACTCTATTTTATACTTTCCCTTCTTTTACTTTTCCAAAATCTTCACCTCCATCCTTCCTCTAGTTACTTTGCATTGTATGTTCCTAGAAATATGGAAACTGTGTTTCTGTATGCTCCCACGTGCCATACATTGCTGTTCCCATCCTGCTACATGGCTGATGTGACTCTGTTCTCAGGCGAGGTGGGTCCCCGACATGTATAGTGCACTTGCCTCTTCAAGGATATCATTCTAGCAACTCACATCTTTCCTCAGTTTTTGTCTGTTGGGTCAAAAACCATGAATGTACAGATGTATTTTCTTGGCCATCTTAAAAAGCTCAACTACCAAGCTCTCTACAGTGATGCCTCATTGAAAGCAATACTTATTATATAGAATTCAGACAAGAATAGAATATAAAGGCCATCTGGATGAGGTTTTGGGGTGTCAAGTTTATTGCTATATTCCCAGTAATTAGAATAGTGCCTGGCCAGAGTAGTATGCCAGGCACTATTTGTTCAACAAATACTCTGTCTTTAGTTCTTCACTTGTTCTCTTTTGTTTCAATCCTCAGTCCCTTCCTTACTTAATTGACTGACAGCATTTGACATAGTTAGTCATTATATATTCCTTGGAATAATTTTTTCTCACTCAGTTTGGACATCACCATTCTCTCCTGGTTTCCTACCTACCTCCCTGGCCACTCCTTCTCAATCTCCTGATCCAATCTCTAAATGTTCTTCCTGATCCAATCTCTAACATTAGTTAGGGTCTCCTCGGGTGTAGTACTTAATCTTAATCACTTCCTTAGTAATCTCTTTAAGCCTTGCCTTGAATCCCCTCTATCTGTTGATGACTCACTCTTTTGTGCTGGGTCTTTCAGGCTCACACAGTCAGCAGACCCCTTGACATCTCCACTTGGATTATTGTCATCTTTGACTCTTCTTCTCCCACCTACATCTAATTGACTGAGAAAATACTATTGGTTCTACTTTTTAAGATGTCTGTCATCTCTTCTTATCTTTTACTGTTACTCTTCTAACTGGTCATCTCACACCTACTACTTATTCTCTCTATCTCTAATATTTTTTTAAAGATTTATTTATTTATGCATACAGAACTGGTGTACAGGCCAGAGGTACAGGGGTGGTGAGAGAATTCACCAGAGACAGAGTGGGGAGCAGAACAGGCTGATAGACTAAGTACACTGCTGAGAGGAGCAGCGGGTGGGTCAAGAGAGGTCTGCCTCACCATGTGGGTCACTTCCCGGGTGGGGATTGAACTCGTGATGCAGTGGCTTTAGCTTCTTAGTGCTTGCTTTAACCTACTGTGCCACCAGAGAGGTCCCTGTATCTCTATATAATTAGTAAACCTTTTGAGACATTAGATCGTAGTGCTTGCTCTTCTACCTCACACTGTCCAGACTGATGATCTATTCAAGCTGCTGATCTCTGAATAGAAGACAGTCCTTAAATGGCCTATGTAAGGCTCTGTGTTCTGACTTCTCTTTTCTCTCTGATGTCATGTTTCTTCTTTGTCACTTTGCTTCTTGCTGTGTCTTTAAGACACATTCCACTTTGCTTCTTGTTGTGTCTTTAAGACACACAGCCATGCTGTTCTTCTGCCCAGAATTCTCTTCCCCCTCTATCTGTGTTACATACTTCCTTACCTCCTCCTTGGCCCAACTTTTAACATCTCTGTGGTCTACCTACTAGTCACTGTTTAAAATGGCAGTGACACTCCTTTCCTTATGTTATTCTATGTAGTGTCTGGCATATTATGAGATAGTCAATATTTGTTTGATAAATATACATCTCAACTGCATCTACTAGCAAAATTCAAACTTGGTAGTAAGTAGGAATCATGGTTATAAGGTTCTAGTAATTTGTGATTTTGACCCTTTATATGTTGAGTTGTATATTTTTTTCCCCATTACCATAAAGAATTTTTTCCTTTCCAGGCATAAATGATACTTAACTTGCTAGATTAAAGGGAGGGTTTTAGCACCCTTACTAACTTGGAAATAGCCTCAAAAGTAAACATCACGATTTAATTATAAACAAAAATAAAGTGTTCATTCAGGTAACTAGACCTAGCATTTATCTCGGTATAAAACCACCTGCTGTGGTTCAGCTGATGATTTTCTGGCCATCCATCCAACTCACATTATGCACTTGTTCAGTAAGGGACATATAGAGCTGTTCTCATTCTGAATGATACAGGAAAAAAGAAGAGAGAGAAATGATTGAAAGTTAGATTTCTCCAAGAGTAATTGCACCATGTCATACAAAAAGATTCTCTGACTTGAGAGTATTTAATAGTATGGTTTCTAAAATCAGCATGTCTCTAAATAGCTGAATTAAAAAAATGGGAATTCACAGGGGTCTAAAGACTACAAGTAATTTAAGGAGAACTATAGGAACTGGATAACTGTGTCAAGAATTTTTTTGGGTATGGTACCAACTATTTTAGATAGGGGATGTTATGAAATCTGTTAATGCTCTTAAACAAGAAAGTATGAATTTACAATCCTCCCTGTACTGCCCCACGCATGTGGTGTATGAAATTGGTAAATCTCATATTGGAGGAGAATTATAGTTTTTCTTTTCTTTCTATAATCTTAAGTTACCTTTGATAAATACGAGTCAAATAACAAATATTAGGTATCTCTCTTCCCCAAATGTAGACAAAGATAAGGAAGAAGTCATATTTTGGAAGCTTCATTTCATGAAATTGTAAGCATAGAGAGTTTAGGATTTCTTTCACCTTCCTACCCTGCTAGTTTGGGTCACATGGGCTCACATCATCTAGATGATCTTTGGAGCAGCCTTTCACATACAAAAAAAAAAAATCATAATCCTTTCCCAGGGGATCGCAACGCTAAGGTGTTTCTCTGGATCAGAAAATGTCTTCCCTCCAGTTGGAAAGAAAGTGCTCTCTGACTGTGGGCTCCATGTGCCAGCCAAACAAGGATTTGATATCTACATGGATGAGCCCGAGCAAGGGGACAGAGACAGCTGCCCAGAGAGAGAGGGGATGACCCTGGAGGATGTGTATGAAGTTGACACCAGCACACTCAAGTCAGACTTGCACTTCCTGTTGGATTTTAGCACAGGTAATCTGACTTTCCCAGAGCTGATAGTAACTTGTGTATTCATATTCTGTGGTGTCCAACTGCATGTAACTAACAAGAGAAAAACCACAAAAAAAAATGACTATAGCTGCTTAAGGAGGGTTAGTGAATGAAATACATTTTTACATCAGTTATCTTATTTGATATTGTTGAACCTCTGCAGTTTCACCTATGCTGGTAGATTCATCTCTCCATTCCCAGTCTGAGGATGTACCAGATATTGGTACAGATGTGATAAATGTGACTGAATATGCTGAAGAAATTCATCAGTACCTTAGAGAAGCTGAAGTGAGTTTTCCCAACGTCTACCTTAATTTCCATTTCTCCACACACTTAACATCAATGAAGTTATAAACTCTTGGCCATAACTGCTCCTGAATGACATTCTTATGACTGACATATGAAAGAATAGTTGTGAGTTGAGTAGCAATTACTTGGATTATTTCTCTATGACTCAGAGGTTTATGTATGTAAGAATTTCACTATTAGGAACAGTTATTTTCCCAATCCCCCTGTTCATTAAGTTATTTGTCATCTAGCAATAGTACAGACCAGCATTTCTCAGTCTCTTCCCTATCATGGTTAAGATTTGCTTGACTATTGATAAGTTTCCTCCTAATCTTCACTCTTGAAATCTTTTACAATAGCAGTTGTTCTGTGGAATGATTTTCAGTAAGAGCAACCACTTAAATATCAAAACTCCCCAAACAGATAAGACACAGGCCCAAAGCACACTATATGAGGAAACAACCAGACATCACCGAAGGCATGCGGACGATTCTGGTGGACTGGCTGGTGGAGGTTGGAGAAGAATATAAGCTGCGAGCAGAGACTCTCTACCTGGCTGTCAACTTCCTGGACAGGTTTCTTTCATGCATGTCTGTTCTGAGAGGAAAATTGCAGCTTGTAGGAACAGCGGCTATTCTTCTGGCTTCGTAAGTTTTTTTTTTTTCAGTTTAAATAAAATGAAACTGCAGCCTGAGCTATTTGTTGAAAAAATGACAATGTTTGAAAATTAAAGTGTTTTCATGCTTCTTTTGGTAAGAGAGTATTATTCTTACAATTGCTCACTCTTCAGAGATTTATGATTTATAGCAGCAAGTCCAATATTATTACTAAGGCTCAATCAGCTCAAATTTAGGATTCCGTGTAAACATTTTGGAAAATAGTCTTTCTTTGTGTCCTAATACAAGTAAAAGTACCCATTTAAAGAGATTTTGGTTATTAAAAACTTTATGATCTAGCAAATTACCCAGAACAGAAGAGTTAATTAGCCTATAATAAGTGAATAAGCCATTTTAGGTTGTTCCTATCAGTCATTCATCATAATACCTAATTGTGTGAAAAAGAGCTGCATTTAATTAAGGCACCCACTGGTGAGTCGTAGTTTTTTCCTCTTCCTCTGGTTACATATAGTCTTTTTGTTAATGTCTAAAAATTTGTCACAATTTTCCTACATAAAGTAAAAACAAAAGCAAAACTGGATATAACAGTAAAATTACATCATAGCACCATCTGCTAATTCGAAGGAGAAAGGAGAACATGATTTAAAAAAAAGAGCCTAAGACCTTACAAAATTTTTTCTGCCCTCATGTTCAACATAATACTCTTTTCCACAGGATGGTTTGAAATCTAGTGTGTAAAAGAAATTTACCTGTTTGTGTGTCATTCAAAAGCTTTTAGTGAATCAGAAGTTAACAGCCTGAAATTCTCCTTTGGAAATTGTTTCTGTCACTATCCCTAATGGTTGGTCGCTTGCTCCAACCTGTCCTCTAGTGCTTATGTCTTGTTTTAGAAACAAGCTCTTCATCTTTTCCTGGCCCAGCCCTTTGTAGTAACAGTTAAGTGAACATGCGGATTCAAAGTAAATAAGTGTGGAAGGGCCATACAAGATGTGTGCTTGTGTGCAGAAGACAAAACTCTCTACCTTTCACAGGAAATATGAGGAGATATACCCACCGGAAGTAGATGAGTTTGTGTACATAACAGATGATACTTATACAAAACGACAACTGTTAAGAATGGAACATCTGCTCCTGAAAGTTTTAGCATTTGATCTGACAGTGCCAACTACCAACCAGTTTCTCCTTCAGTACTTAAGAAGACAAGGAGTCTGTGTCAGAACTGAGAACCTTGCTAAGGTATGTCCCCTCACTTCCAGTACCTTCAGTGCCTAGGAGGGTAAAAATAGTCTTTCCCAATCACACTTCATTCCTTAATCCTTTTCAGTTCATTGTCTGAGGCCAGAAAAGCATTCTTTGGTATAAAGAAAACCTAACATTAAGAATTAACCTCTGGTTATGAGCTACTGCTTTGGGTCCCATTTATACAAGTTGTATACAGACCATATACAAGAAGTAACTCCTAGTTTTGTAGAATGGGAACAATAATAGTTTGATTTACTTCTAGTCTGATCCTAACAGATCAAATAATGAAGCATTCATTGGTCATTGGGAGCTATGTAACTTTAGTTACAGGCATTAAATATTGGTTTGGAAAACTTGGTTTTCATGCCACTTGTAGTCTAGGGTCTGTTATTTATATACTATACAAAAAGTAATAAGGATGTCTATGTAAATTTTCTATTCCTCTAATATGACAAGTGCTCATTGGTGCTATTCTAACCTCTAAACTGCATACATCTGCCTCATAAACAGTTCTAATATAGTCATATTTTTGCCTGTTGATTGAAGACTCTGTGCCCACTCCAGAGCAATACTATTTTATCTGATGAGTAATACTACTCATGTAAGTTAAGAAAACTAACTGGGAGTCTTCCTGGTGGTACAGGGATTAAAAACTCAGTGTTATCAAGCTGCTGCCAGTCACTGCAGCACGAGTTCAGTCCCCAGCCAGGGAGCTGACCCACATGGTGTAGCAGACCTCTCCTGACCTGCCCGCTGCTCTCCTCAGCAGTGTATTTCAATAGATCCCCCTGTTTTGCTCCCCACTGTCTCTGGTGAATCTTCTCAACCCCTGCACCTCAGGCCTATATCCCAGTTCTTATATGTATAAATAAAAAAATTTTTTTAAAGAAAGAAAACTAGCTGATCATATACATTGTACAGCTAGGCCAAATACTTGTATATTGAAATTTATTATGCCATAAATGTCTTACTGCTTGTAGATAGATATACCAGCTATTAATCCAGTGGCCCAGTTTGAGTATCTATTGCTGTGCTCAGCCTTAGATATAGACTGAACAAAGACTCAGTTTGTTCGCTTGGCATTTGTAGGATTACTTGTGACCTTAGTCAAAGTTCTAACTCCAATGAGATTTTCTCTTTTGTGCTTATTAGTATGTAGCAGAACTGAGTCTCCTTGAAGCTGACCCATTCTTGAAATATCTTCCTTCATTGATAGCTGCAGCAGCTTATTGCCTGGCAAACTATATTGTGAACAGACACTTATGGGTAAGATTCTAACCACCTAGATGAAATTCAAGGTTTATCTAAAATCTGTCCCAATAGGTTGTGAAACTTAGCATGAAATGGTCTGTTATGAGGAAGGTTGGTTTGATAAGGAGCTGGTTATGTTGCTGCAAGACTACAATATGCTGCGAGCCCTGAGTCAGCCTTCATGGTTTTGATTTAATGGTTTTACTCTATGGGGAGCAGAAATTACAACACGTCCAGGACACGGTTATTCAACAGAAGTAGGGTTGGAAGTCTTGAAGTCCACTGTCATGCAAGAAGGGTCCTTTCAATCAAAGTTGGATGACCAGAAGGCACAGCAGGGCAGTTAGCATTGCTTCATGGTTGGAGAAAGTAGCAAGATTGGGAACTGGCTCCTAGACTTGGTTCTGAGGCTCACTTTTTTGCTTAAAAAAAGGAATTTGTCTACTTTTGTTTTCTGGAATACTTATTTCATATTCCGCCACTGGCTAAGAATCTTTCATAGTTTATATAAATAGTGGTTTCAGGTAAATGGGAGCTTTTTAGAGTTAAATTCCTTCTTATGAAGGAATAGGTAAAGCAACCTGCCCTCAAATTGAGCATTATAAATATACATAAAATATTCTTCCTAATATTTTAGTTCTAACTTACTTGAAGAGGGTGGGTTACAGTTCCTTTTGAAATGAATGTGGATACTTAGTGATTAATCCCCTTTATTATACAATCAGTTTCATCTTCAGAATTTTAATGTCTCAGAGAGTTACATGAAGTAACTTTTTCTTTTGTCTTGATTAGCCAGAAACCCTTGCTGCATTTACAGGCTATTCATTAAGTGAAATTGTGCCTTGCCTGAGTGAACTACATAAAGCATGCCTTGGTATACCCCATCGACCTCAGCAAGCAATTAGGGAGAAGTATAAAACTTCAAAGTAAGTTCTTGAAATGTTCTTATCAAGGCTCACTATTTAAAGGGTTAATGAGATATAGCAATGTCAGAATTTAAAGATAGAACAAATTGTATATCTAGTGCAAGGCTGGAAAAATAAGCTTGCATGTAAAATCAAGAAAATTGATTTGAGGAAGCCTAGATTATGCTTTATCAGCTGTAATACAGTTTCTTTCCTTTCTCCTTCCTTCCCTCCCTCCCACCTGCTTCTCTTCCTTTCTTATTAAAACTACTTGAAAGTGTTCTGTGGCCTCACTGAGACTTTACAATACTGAAGAACTTGTGCTGAACTTGCTTTGGCTCTTATTTCAGGTACATGCATGTGTCTCTAATGGAACCACCAGCAGTCCTTCCTCTGCAATAAGTTCAGAACTGAAGAATTTTCAGAACTGAGCCTCCAGATCAACAAAATTGGTCTTAAACATTATAGATTTCTGCAGGATGGGTCAAGTAGTGTTGCTACACTAGAGGTGTCATTTTGAAAAAAAAATGTAAATGTATTTGGATTCTCTTAGATGTTAGTAGCTTGTAATATAGTCTAAACATTTTTTAAAAGAATAAACAACTTGCCTTATGCCCACGTGTTAAGCTTACTTACTCACTAAACATGGCTGACACACTTGCTTGGGATTTTAGCAGAGTATTATAAATGTCATCTCTATTTCAAGAATTCCTCTAAGTTGGCTTTATAAATCTGGCATGCTATTAGGAGTAAGGGCTCTGGAGAGTGCAGGGGTTGTCATGTTTGAAAAATGATGCCTGAGGTTTTTTCCCTTCCTGCTCCTGCTCTCCATAAACTGACAAAGGAAGACTGCAAACCTAGATGCAAGTGAAGGGCCATTAAACAAGGCTCCTACTGTAGCTTCCCCTCTGGAGCCCGAGGCAGTAAAAATGATAGCCTGAGCAGTGAATGTGATCAACTACCTCTGATGGGGTGACATAGTTCATTCCAATGTAGTAGTGTTGCTCATTTGGTAAAGGGATACAATTAGGTCAATGTTCAATTTTGTTTGAGTCCCCCCTCAAACATATATGTTACTCATAGAACATGTTCTGAGAAGTAGGAAAACAAAATTCACGAATTGATGGGACTTCAGAACAATGAAGCTAACCCCCATGAATGTCCCTTAGGAGCTAGCCAGGCTAAGTTTTGCTCAATTTCAAGTTATTCATCACCCTACACTTCATTATACATTCACTTATGGCCCCTTTCAACTGTACTTATGTAGGATACTAGATACGGAAAACTAAGAGAATGACAACCAAATCTTTTGTTTTAACTTTCTTTGGGAGATCGGAATGAAAACCAAGAATAGACTTGACCTTGAGGGAGAGGGCAGTGAATATAAATTTTATTAAATTGACCCCCGGAGAGCCCTCTGTGCTGTGTGCCTCAGTCTCCTGCTACCACCACCACCTCTGTTCTTGGCCTTCCACCCAAGGACTCAGCCCAGATGGCCTTGTGGAGGTAAGAACAACCAGAAACATGTATTTTCTAAATCCCCTTATATAGAAAAAAATAAGTTACATCACATATATAAATATTCTCACTATTATTTTCTTATAGAGGTGATGTTGGCTTGAAACCTTTTATGTTTTAGTGGTATGGGTTCACACCTCTTTAAATGTACAATATCACACTACACCTGCCATCAAAGCACCATAAGTCTTCCACCACTGTCCCCTGAACCTCCTCCTCCTTTACTTCCCACCCTCCCTCGCCCACTGGTGGTCTCATCTCAGTATCCTCCCACCTGGCCCTGCTTTAGTCTTCACATTCTGTGGTCACTCTTTCCCCGCATCACCGAGAGTCAACTGTCGGAGCAGGGACTTGCGTCCATGGCTGACAACCCACCCTATGCTCTGTGTATGGGCCCTCACCTGTACAGTTGACGCCTCCCCACATACCTCAGGAGACAGGTGCCAAAGCAACAGACTCTTCAACAGAAGGAAAATACTGGAAGGATGCCTGCACTGCTGCCCCAGTCTCAGGCTGAACTGGAGTGGAAAGATCAGCTGAGACGAGGGAATGGGGTCATCTGGGCCACATCTGAGTAAGTAGAAACAACTCTCTTGGGAAGGATTTGCTCTCTTCATGTTAGTATACAATAAGAGAGAACACTATCCAGCTATCAACTTGCAGAATTAGGTATCTTGGTTTTCAGAGTACTGGTCCCACCCAAACTTGTATCATCGAAAAGGTACTTTTTGCAATTCTGGCACTTCAGTAGCTTATTTCAAACTTGTATCATTGAAAATGTACTTTTTGCAATTCTGGCACTTCAGTAGCTTATTTCTATTAGCAACCTTAAAACTTAAAACTGAGGCAAATATTCACAATGGAAGGCTAGCTCTTTTCGCTCAGGAATTTTTTGCTTAATAAACACCCATAGAAGACCAGGGAGCTATTCAACTTGGCTATTAATCGAGGGATGCTAGTCATATTAGAATAAACTAACCACTCTGCCAACCCAAATCTCTGTGCTTTATCACATTATTGGTTCACCTCTCATGTCACTTTTCAGTGTGTGTTAGGAAAAGAATGCTTTGGTTCCACAAGGGGCCTGGGAGTGGCATTTAGCTATAAATTCTAGGAGGAGGGGAATTCCACATAGGTAAATATTCATTCTTAGCATCCTTCAATTAATGTGAATATCATGAATAATGAGTTTGATTGGATCAGTACCTGTCAATTTTGAGTTCCTTACTCATTTTAATTCTTTTTGTGATATGTAAATACCTTCTGTAATACAGTTTAACTTTTAAACCCAACCTCATTTGAAAAGCAATAGTCATGAAATTATGGAGGTGATTACATATTTTAATTACATATTTTCCAATAAACATTAAAACATAGCTACCGAATGTGAATCACTTAATATTCTGTGTTTATTAGGTACATGTGTCACCCTTTAGAAAACTATATTCGGTCATCCGAGATTCTATAACTGTAGAAAATCTATAATGCCTCAAAAGCTAAATGCAAGTAAGAATTCACTTTTTTATGCATCTTACACTTGAGATTGCTTGGGCAGGAAGTTTGAAAGTTGGTGTGAGCTGTATTCACGACTGAGAACAGTACTATCCTAAAGCAATTCAAAACCACAGAAAGGGATAATATGGATCGAGACCTTTGAAACAATGGGAGAGCGTCTCACGTCAGCCTTATTTCTCCTCTCATTCCTTCTCCCTCAAGCACTAAAAGGAAAGGCCAGGACACTAGAAAGACTGGCATATCTGTTTGCAATGGGCAATTAGATGTGGCAGTTCTGACATTTAGGGCAGGAGGCTGGCTGAGAAAGAGTTGAGATGATGTGTCAAACTAGAATTTCTCATCGAAATAAAACATAATAGGGGTTATTTTCTTGATGCCTGAATCCATCCCTGTCTTCATACTCCTGCTGTCACTGCCTTAGCTTAGACCCTTGTCATTTCTCAAATATATCAATCACCATAGTGGCCTCTTAATGATTTTTCCACCTTCTTTCCCCTGTTAAGATTTTCTAAAGTGAAACAGGTGATATCTTGCTCCAGTATCTAATTTTTCAATGTCTCATCTTCACTGGAAAAAAGTCAATGCTGAAATGTAGGAACTGCTCACCTCTAACAATTTCTGCTTTCTTTCTTTTTTTTAAAGATTTATTTATTTATGCAAGAACTGAGGTAGAGTCCGGAGATGCAGAGGTGAGAGGATTTACCAGAAACAAGGTGGGGAACAGAATAGGTGGATATACTGAAATACACTGCTGAGGGGAGCAGCAGGCGAGACAGGGGAGGTCCACTGTGCCATGTGAGTGACCTGCCTGGCCTGGAATCAAACTCATGGTGCAGTGGCAGCTGACAGCTTCATAGTGCTGTGCTTCAACCCCTTATACCGCCAGGGAGGGCCCTAACAATTTCTGCTTTAATTTTCCTGCCAAGTTATTTGTAGTTCCCTAACTGGGCCCTGCTCCCCTATTCCTCTCTCTGACATGCTGTGCTCGCTCTGAAAAACATTTCCCACTTACCTGTTCCACTTGGCTACCACTAAGTGGATTCTTCAGAACTAGAACTAATTGACTTCATCTCCCCTATCCACCTTGAGTTAAGAATCCTACACGGCAGCTGACTAGCTGCCACATCTGTGGCCCTTCTAAGTACACATCTCATCTCTGTGCCCCAAGCATCTGGCTTCATACTAGAGACTCAGTAATGTCTACGGAGTGAATGGATGAGTTATACTTGTTATAGACATTTTTACCTCTTGGTTTGGTCATTCATAAAGTGCTGTACTTGGAAGTATGAATCTTTACAAATTATATTGAGATAAAATGATGTTAAAAGGGAAAAATCACAAAGATAAAAGTGAATGGTAACTATCTTATGCAAATTTCATCCTCTTCATAATTCTTATGTTTTCTGTATAAGGAAAGATAATGTGAAACTTTCATTAGGGTCTTGAAGCAAAGGTGTGTGCCTGATAAGAATGAAAACATGAGAGTATTTTGAGAGAAAACTCAAAGCTTTACTGTTGTTTTGGCCTTATGTATTTCTCCACCTGTCTTAAAGGGAAGGTTGTTGCCTTCGAAAGAAAAGTCTTTTTGAGCTGCCAAGAAGTGGGCAGAAAGGGCTTTTACTTACATGTGCTCTGTGATTTATGGATCATAAATGATACTTGCTTTTGAAATGCATAAATAAAAGCCCTTTTAACTGATGGCTTTACTTCTTTGATCCCTAAAAAAAATCTTCAAAATGATATAAAGGCCTAAAGCTTTGCTTTGTGGCAGAGCCATGGAGATGGCTTCATCAAGGCCCACCAGAAACAGAATGACTAATGCATATTTGTGCTTATGAAGCAGTAATGAACAAAAGCAAAAGCATCCAGAATGAGCTCAGCCTAGGGAGCAAGGGTCGGGTGGGCAGGGATTTGGGGGGCGGAAGTAGGCTGGACAAGAAACAGATGCAGGAAACAGGCTTCAAGGGCTCATTCAGCATTGAAAATAATCCTTTCTTGCCTTTACTCAACGAGATTTTAAAAAGCCTTTATCACATAACATCAATCTAAGCTTTTGGATTCTTGAAAGAGTATTTTAGAATTGGCATTGCCCTAAGGATCTTACGTTGTATGGATTATTATGATCGTTGAGTGAGGCTGTGCTGAAATCACAAATAAGCCCTAAATTCTAGTGGTTTCAAGCAAATTGGCCAGCTTGTCTGTGCTCTGTCTTTAAAAAATGATTCAGGTGAATGCAGCCTTTCAACACTGATAGCCCAAAACTTTTGTTTTTAGATGCAACAATGAATAAAAGAATATAGAGAAAGCACACTAGAATTTAACTACCTCAGCCTGGAGCTGCATGTATTTTGCTCACGCAGGACTGGGAAAAGTAGCTTCACTTTTTGCCCAGGGAAAGGAAAAGGGCTAGGTGAACACATATCACAGACTGAAACACATCTCTAAACATTTTCTGTTGCATTTGAGAGTTAAGAATTAGAAACAGAAACAGCACAGTAAAATTGTGCTTTCTGAACTGTAATTAAGACAGAAAAGCTGTTCTACAAGCACTGAACTTTCAACAATTGCTGACATGGGCAAC